ACCTTCTGGTTACAAGGCTATCGAGCTAGCTCGTAGACTATTAAATCACTGGTACCCGATCTAATGGCCAGCCCATGAATTCTAACTTCTGCCAATTCGAATTCCGGTAGGTGCTTATTTATAAATAGTCCCAAACTAGTACGAAACAGCTTTCCAGTAATCCCAGGTTTTCCAGTGGTCCTCTAAGTGATGTCAGCTCATGATGAAATCCACCATACAATCAAAAATAATAAAGGTTTAATTTAGATAAAGATATTATGAAATATTATTAACGTTGTTTTGAAATCGCCTAAAAGGCGGTCAATGTTCATTGTTCAATTTAACGAAAATATTCATTCAGACAGTTAACCTGGGGTTCTAGTGGGAAGCCGTGACCAGTAGGGTACAGCAGGTTGAAGATGAGGCAGTAACTCATCGAAGAAGACATTGCAAATTGGTCGCGCTATGTCGTGAATTGGCAGAAGTTAGAATTCAAGGACCATTGGATCGGGTCCCAGTGGCTCAATGGTCTACGAGCTCGCCTTGTAACCAGAAGGTTCTGGGTTCAAACCCCGGTGGGTGCGTACTGATGAGGAGCCCCAAACTAGAACGAAACATCTGTCCAGTACTTCCGGGTGGGTTTTCCAGTGGTTCTCTAACTGATGTCAGCTGATGATGAAATCCTCCATACAATCAAACCAAATTCCTACAAAACCAACACTTGGAAAAACAAAATAACTGAGCAAACAATATCCTTTTCGACAATACCCTCTTCTGACTCTAAAATTATATACGCATGTTTATATACATAGACTATTCTGGGATAGTCTCGCCAATAACAATATTTCTGTTTCTTGAATAATATCGATTAGTAAAATAAGATGTCAATGGAATTACAGTTCATTAAAGATGCTTAAATTATAATAATTATAATAAGAATAAAAATGTAATAATAAATAGAATATCAACTTAAAGTTCTACAAAACGTTGAGGAAACACTCAAACCTAAATGGCCAAGGTAAGGGTGATGTCTGAACTAACTTCTTTTCGACGCACAAATTAGGCTTCCTAATATGGATCGCCACGGCCTCAGCAATATTTAGTAAACGAAATCTTAAGACGAAGTTAAGATTTGTTGGTATGCGGTAGATAGCTTCGGAAGCCGCCTCGTTGACATCAGTCTTGTGTTCCATTGTATCCACAAGATGAGGTAGAATAGCGCTAGGAATAGATTTTGTTTGTCCTTTGCTTAACCACTATGCAGGGTGATGTTCAGAAATTTGACGAGAAACACCCCTAACTGTACGGCCTGTGTTACTAACTGGCTCTCCACAGGAGCAGTTAAATTGGTAGATACACATGGAAGAGGCGAAATTAGGCAGTTTATCTTTTACTCCCGAACGCAAAAGAGGAATATTTTTGAAGGTTCAAATTTTCAATTTTTCGTAGAAATTTCCTGAATTTTGGTTGATATTCTGTTTGCTATTATATTTTTATTATTATTATTAGGATTTAAGCATCTTTAATGAACTTTAATTCCAATGGTCTTACTTAACAAATAGATATTATTTAAACAACACAAATATTGTTATTGACTACTATTCTAGAATATTCTATGTATATAAACATCCATATATATAATTGTAGAGCCAGAATAGGAAATTATCGAAAAAGACATTGTTCAATAATCTATAAAAAATTTAAACTGTAAAATGTGGCGTCGTTTTTGAAATAGTCAAGAAAACTTGATAGCTCAGATAAAAATGCATTTAATATTGTTTTATTCTGTGGATCTTATAGTTTAAATGCAAAGCTTTCATTCTACTCATACAAAATCTCTCTAACAATAATTCCAATATCAAGTCACTATGAGTTTATAGCTTCTAAATCTTGCATTGGTAGAAAGCTCTGCTTAGGCAAAACGCCAAGGTATAAGAATAAAACTTGTGCATTGTGATAGAGTGTAATTCTATTATGGGTAAATTTTGTTTTGATAAAGTCTCACAGAGTTATACAGTAATGTATACTGATGCAATGTGGCTAGTCTAGGTACTTCATCTCTCAGTTGAGGTAGCAACCACCATAGGTCGTGTAGAGAATAATACGTGTAGTTCACCAACCTTAAAAGTCCTTTGAATTGATTTTCTTAATTTCCTCGTAATTATCTCACTTGTTGTATCATCCTTGAATTGTAGTCGTATATAAAGTAGCTTCTTGTTTTTGCGGATAGTGAGTAGCCCTATTCCGCTTTCTTCGTCATGTGTTTCTTTATAAATTTTTCGGGATAGCCATTTTCGATCAAAGTATCATATACAATGCTTAGTTCATCTTCAGTTACTTCTTCTAAGCATATAACTGTGACTGTATGTCTGAGAGTCTTCACTAAATTTCTTTTGTACTGGAGAGGAACGAAGCTGTGAAAATGTGTGTATATTGTCCTGTCCAAATACTTTTTCTATGCGAATTTCTTTTTTTTTCTTGTAAGTAGAACACTGAGGAAGGCAATTCTATCTTGGGATACCTCTTCAAGTGTGAATTTCATAGCCGAATGTACTTCATTGAATTCAGTAATTATTGTACTCCTATCAGAACCATTATCACAAAGGATGAAGTTGTCATCGATATATCGGCAATAAAATGTAATTAAATTTCTTAAAACAGGCCGGGCCGCCTCCCGTCACATTTTAAGGATTTCAGTACGCATACCAATGTTTATCAACTGGTTATCCACTTGTTCACACATGTAGTTAACTGTTTCTGCTAAGTGTACATTTGTGAATAAAGATGTTATGTCCAGAGATATCGCGGTTTTGTCCTTGATATTAATATCTTTGATTTTGTCCACGAATTCAAATACATCTTTGACGCTATATTTCACTATCTTATCTTCTATTTTTACTTACGAAGCCACTTTTAAGTAATTATATCAATCCTGTCACCCCCCCCGCTTTCCTTCTATTAATACTCACTAATAGACTACTATACATTTTTGGTAAATATAAATACGACTGTACGGCAGCCTCTGAAGATGATTTCATCGGTAAAGGTAATTTTCTTCATTGAATCTTACTTTTATTTTCTTGATGACTCAATGTGAATTCCCGGTGTTAATACATCACGTGAATCAATATTGTTCTGACTTCGGCAAACTTCTACCTCCATATCCTCCTTCAAAAAGTACAAATGACTAGTCATAAAGCTGTTCCAAAGTCAGTATGAACACTGACTAAATGAGAATGGCAGACTTAACTGGTTGGATTTTTAATCAGCTATGAGAAATGAAGTAGATGCTATGCATTCTGATGGAAAGAAAATTTGACTAAGGAGTCATTTAAACCTGTTGTTGTATTTTCGCATTGTTTATAAAATATATTGTACTAAAATGTTTTTGCGTCGAACACAAAAACCATAGGTGTAGCCATGTGGCGTAGGCATTTATCTGGGTCAAGGTTACCATCCTATATTATGCGTTGGTGGTACAGTGGTTAGGATACTCGCCCACCATGCACATGGTCCAGGGTTCGATCCCCGGCCACTGACTCACTCCTTTATCTCGCTAAGTCAGAAATAATGCTGGTAAAGAGGAAACGTTGAGCATGAGACTAGCAATTCCATCCTGTAAAATTAAACACCACTGCTACAGAAACTTCAAGCCACTAGCTTGAAGGCGCTCTATGTTCCACTGGGAACGTGAAGGAAATAAAAAAAACTAAATTGCTTTTGATTTCTGATTTTTTTGCCTACAGATGCTCAGAAGGTGAATACAATTATGACATATATAGTGGAAAAAGTTTGGATGTATGCCAGAAAGGTTAGTTCATTATTTTCCAAAACTTTTATTTTGTATTATCCAGTGTTTCGAAGTAGAAAGTCTACATGTAGTAGGGTCTTTATTCACCAACTTCTTGACTGAGGTGTCAGTTAAGCGCATACATTTCCCCAGACACTAATTGTCCGACAGATATATTGATTTCCAACTCCAATATGAAGTCGGTGCTACTTACTGTGTGGATCAGATACTTGGAGCCATGTCACGAAGGGCACTTCAAACAAACTACAGACCTTCATCAACCGCTGCCTTCACTCAATACTCAAGATCAGATGACCGGTCAGAAAGGTCACCAACAGGCATGGATCTCTGGGAGCGAATCAACCTATAAGGAACCGATTGTGCAACAAATAGGCAGGAAGAAATGGAGGTGGATTCACTGGCCATACTCTGAGAAAACAAACCATCAAGTGACATCACTAGACAAGCCCTCGAGGGGAACTCGAAGAGGGAGGCGGCTAGTTGGTCGTCAGTGAGGGGGTGACTTGGAGGAGGTGATGTGAAGAGGAGATGAAAGCATGTGGGCAGATCTGGAGCCAGGTGAAAACTCTAGCAGAGAACCGAACGCAATGGAGACGCGCGGATGAAGCCCTATATTCCTCTAGGAATTAAAGGAAATAATAATAACCAACCAGATAAAGGTGGGTATTCGATAACACAGTTCTCATTTCCGTCATGTCAGAGTACACTACAGTAGAATACAGATCCATATTAGATAAATTCGCCTATCAGTGTTTCCAATATATTCATACAGGAGGTCATACATAGCCCCAGTAACTCATTGGTAACGTCTCCGACCACAGCGCCAGATAATAACGTGGGTTTGTTTGTCAGAGGGAATATCAGCTTTTCCGGAGTTTAAAGATATACGCCTTACCAAAGAATACCGACAAGCATGAAAAACCTAGATCCTTGGCTTCCTGTCGATTGCCTCCAAAAACGTTTAGTTTTTCTGTCAATGAAAGCCAAGAGGAGGGATAAATAGGTACTGACTTTTGTATATCACCAAGGGAAAATAAACTAATCTTCTTTTAACCCATGTGTTTCTTGTCACCTCCGCCCTTCAACACACGAGCCTCTCAACAGGTTTAAGTTCACTGTTCACATTTGAGCACCAACCCTCCACAGTAATACCCTTTAAGAGACTATTAGCCATACCTAATCCTATCATCATTTTATTCCGCAATTTCAGGTCTTACAATCGATACAAAATCTCATCAGATCATTGTAAAGTTAGGTGAACCAATTAATTTAGTCTGTAAGGCTACATCATACCGTGGTGGCTTAGTAACACATGAATGGATTACCCCACAAAAAGAATATGCAAGTCAACCAAGTATTACTCGGAAGTATTTGGAGAAATCTGATCAGTATGAGAAAGGAAATATGACAACATATCGTACAGAAGCATTACTAGAAATCAAATCAGCTAAACCTGAAGATGCTGGAGAGTATATATGCGTCGCCAAAGGAGTTGGTTCAGAGATGAATGAAACATTTTATGTCATAGTTCGGGATCCAAGTAAGTTGTTGACAATAATTTTACTTTTTCATTTCACTAAGCTCATAGTTATTTGTTATAGTGTATGATTTAAAGTACCGTAAACTAAAGTCTGAATCGGTTTCCTTTTCACTCTATGCCTCAAGAGATTAGCTCCAAGTTCAGACTGTTTGAGTTTCGGGTGAAATATATGCCCACGGTGACATCTGTCTGTCTGTCTTTTTTCAACATAGACATTTGCACCGATGTGCGGCAGCTCATGTCTCCACACTCCCTCCTTGTAGCACACAAAGCGAGGGAAGAAAGTAGAAGAAATGTAAAATAGAGACAGTAGATACGGATATGAGACAAAAAGAATGGTGATAACGAAAAACAAAATAGTTTCATTGGGTATTATAGGTCACAAGGAGTGGATGCATCCAAACCATCACTGAGAACGATTTGAACCGAATCACCGATTGTGTCTAGCCTTCATTGGTTTTTACCATCCCGCGGACCCCAACCAGTCAGGAAGTCTACACCTTCCTATATGGCTTAAACTGACTGTTGTGGATTTCATTGATCAATGAAGCCATGTTTTGGTCTGATCACCAGTGGCTGTTATCCAACTTCATCGATCCTATGCCAGTTAACATTTCTAGTCGAGGAAGGTGATGCCTAGACATGAGTAGCACATGTCCAAACCATCTCATTCGATGCAACCTTGTCGAATGATTTTCACTTCTTACCCAGCACTCGACCGACGCCTTACTTCAATATTGCTCACCCCATTATACCACCTAACACTGGAGATAGGACGCAAATACCTATGATCAAAGAAGGCTAGCCTGCTTTTCCATGTCTTCCACTCTCAGTGATCAGGTCTCACAGCCATAAAAGAGGATGGAGAGGACTGCTGAACACTAAATCCGCCCTCTAGTCGATAGCAGTATATCACGTCTACGTCAGAGACGGTGTAAACTGGAATATGTGAAATTCCCCTTCTGTATCCGTACAGATATTTCGTCAGTTATCGACCCGTTCGGACACTATACATCAAATTAATAGTGCGACTGGGTGAAACTATTGCCCACTCCTCTGAAACACATTTCTGCATATAGCCTCAATCTAATGACTTCGGTTCACTCAAAATGTCGTCCAGTAGTTTATCCAACTAAATTTAGCGTGACGGTGCATAAGGAATGCTTGAAGGCAACATAAAACTGAATATTTGTGCTGACTAAAATATCAGATATTTAAGACTAATGAAGTTCTAGTGAGAAATCAACATCAGTGGCATCCAACCCGTCGGAAGTGAGAACAAATACTCACCAACAACACTGGCTAGTGGCCACGCTAAAATTACGAATTGATAGAAGGTGGAATTCATGAGCAGACCATTGTATCGGGTCCCGGCGTCTGAATGGTCTACGAGCTTTCCTTGTAACCACTAAGCCGTGGATTCGAATCCTCCTGGGTGCGCACCGACAGAGGGTCCTGAACGAGGACGAAACAGCCATCCAACACTCCCTAATTTTCAATGATTCTCTAACCTGTACCAGCTTATGAACAAACTTTAGACTAATGTAGCCATTCGAAAGCAGATATCGATCAGTGAAGGTCTGTTTGTTTACTGAACTTCTATACTCAAAGGGAACATTTCTAGCTAGTTTTAGATGTAGAAATCAGGAAAATCAAGAGATAAAATTGAGTAGACTAACCAAAACCTAGTTTTAAAGTTACACGTTAGTATGACTGTAAGAAATAAGCTGGTTTATATTTGGTGACAGGATATTATCATGACCCGGATAGCTCAGTGGTAACGTCTCTGACTGCAGCACTCATTGGGTGACATGTGTTTGAAACTCTGAAAGGACATTGAGTTCCCTCAAGATTGCAGATATGAAACCCAAGTCAAACTGGGCTTTCTGTCCTGGGTGCACCATGATGACGAACCACCTACCATGTTGGCCACAATGCAAACTTGACTGATGATAGAATTCAGTCCGCAGTGAACAAAGTCCTAGACGCACATTACACTAGTTTAGTGTCCAGTCAAAAGAATTACTAATAATGAAATCCTGTAACCAATCAATCAAATCCCTACAAACCAATACTCGGTTTATATTTGTCAAATTGTAAATAATACTATATTACCTTGTCTGTAAGCTAGGTCTACTGAGAATAACCAACAGGTAGTGAGACTCTTTAGAAGTGCTATCGAAGAGAAGGGAGAATTCAAAACTTTCAGATTATGACGCAACCATGTTGGTATCCAACCACTAGGATCAACTTTAGTAGTTTATATTTCTGGAATTTCACCGATTGTGTGTCAATCTAACAAGCAATTATGCTCTAATCGAATTCCCAGTCTTCACATAAACATCTTTGTTTTAAATATAACAAAAAGACTATTGAACAGATCAATGTATCAATGTTTTTCAAGCGTTACTATAGAAATTTGATATACATCTGTTAGGATTTCATATCTGTTGAATTAATTAGATAAATTTTTGCTTGTGAATTTGATAAAGCTGTCAGTGCAAAGTTACTTGGAAATGCTATTTGATTCATGGTGTCTAGCAGTAGAATCCATGACTTGAGTTTCTCCTCCTTTATGAGTTGTTAGCTCCGTGTATTGCTCCCTGATTACTTCTTCATCTTCATAATATCAAAGTGTCGGTTCATGCATCCCGATCGCTGAAATATGCCCGATTAATAAACTTTTATAGATGAATAAAGAATCAGAAATATGAGTAACTGATTTCAAATCATGCCTGTCTAACAAAATGTAGCTCTCGTGGCCTAGGAGGTTTCGTAAATAACGCTTCGGTGTGGTTAGAGAAACTTTTTATCTTATTCCTTTACGTTTCGGCTGGAACACAGAACTTCAAGCCTCTAGCTAGAAGTTTCGGCAACAGTGGTGTTTATTTTTACGGGTTGCGGTTGCTAGCCTCATGCCTCACAATCTTCCCTCTCTATCAGTCTTATTACTTGCTTTCCGAGGTAAAGGAGCGCATCGGTCGGGGGTGAAACCCCGAACCACATGTGATGTGGTTGGCGAGCATTCTACCTCTATGCCGCCGACGCTTGGGTTCCCAAACCTGGTAATATCGAGACACCAGTATGAGAAGCCTATACATCATTGTGAAGCAGATTACTACGGCGACTTTGAAGTAAATGAACGTAACGCAAGCGATCTAACCGTCTTTTTTCTATACTTAGATTAAAAACCCGACTTCTGATTAAACGGATAGAAAGTCATTTAGACTAAATTGAACATTATATTAGGCTATTTAAATGCGTAAACTTATGAAGGAACTTTAATTTACCAAGAGGGCTGGTTCGCCCAGATGGTGGTTTGGAATTCAAGTGGTCTCTAATGATTCTCTCCTCTGTGAGCTGAGTTTAACTGGGTACCCTTATGACAAGATCTGACAGCAAACGAAATATCATTTCATTCTGGCTAGCAATTATTACTAATTAACGTGAGACGGGTGGTAACCAACTATTCGAAATTAATCAGTAGTATGCATCTTTATATTAAGTGATTGTTTCAGCGGAGAAGCACCTTTTTTAAATCACTTAAATCATAACTTTGTACTTAGAAGAATTTGATTATTTTCCCTCAAAAATGTGGAGTTTTATGGATTTGGTTGAGTTTAGGTTGAGTAGAATGACGTATACTTGCCAACGACGTCGGATTATGATGGCGTTCGATATTTTGCAAGAATTGAGCAAAGTTAGAATCTATAAGTCATCGGCTGAAGCTCCAACAATCTAGCTTCTCAATCGTAGGTTCTAGGTACGATCCCCTTTTGGACTATAGTTAAGGATCGCTAAGGAGTCACGAAGTTGGGTGAAACAGTTATCCAGTGAACTCTGATTTTCAATGGTATGATTCTTCTATTCCTTCACTCAAAGTTTTAAGCGCTTAAAGTTGTTTAACTATCAATCACTTTATTTTATGCATTGTTAAAGCATCATTTCAACATTATTTCATTCTCTAGGTACATCACCTCCTGAAGCACCTGAAGATGATGAAGTCAATCGAAAATTCCCTTTACCGATACCATCAATTTTAGATACGCCTGAAATGGCAGTTTATGAAATAAAACAAGATCCAGAAAATCCTCAGATTACACTGATTTCTGGTCAAGTGAAGGTATTTGTTTAATACTACAAGCTGTTCGGTGTACAGTTTTTTTTTCTGGCTTTGAATGTAAAGTCGATTCATATAAACGGTTCATTTTTAAATGAAGTCAATTTAGTCTTTATAACAGGTAAAATATTTGGTTACTTTAGCATTGGATGATGTGGAATGAAATCAAGAAATTGCATGATACATGAGGCTTTTTCTCTGTATATATATATATATTATATATATATATATATATATATATATATATATGAAGTGAATCAAGAAACCGACTAACTCACAAAGGCTGATTGACTCCAGTAGGAGTAGAGTGTTCGAAAAGGTTGTCGAAAATCAAAGAAAGTTAGGTTCATAGACTTTCACTTGAGCATAGGACATTACCTTCTCACTCGACAATATAAAGGGAATTTTGTTAGAAAAGTTTTTCAAGTATTGGTTTTGTAGGGATTTTGTTTGATTGCATGGAGGATTTAATCATGAGCTGACATCAGTTAGAGAACCACTGGAAAACCCACCTGGGAGTACTGGACAGCTGTTTCGTCCTAGTTTGGGACTCCTCAGCAGTACGCACCCACCGCCAGGATTCGAACCCAGGACCTTCTGGTTACAATGCGAGCTCGTAGACCATTAAGCCACTTGGACCCGATCCAATGGTCCTTGAATTCTAACTTCTGCCAGTTCACGACATAGCGCGACCAATTTGCAATGTCTTCTTCGATGAGTTACTGCCTCATCTTCAACCTGCTGTACCCTACTGGTCACGGCTTCCCACTAGAACCCCAGAAAAGTTTTAGTCTAGAAACTGGAACATTTTATTGGTTCTACCTACTTTTATGATATTTATTTAAACTCTGATTATCGTTCCATTTGATTTGACCTAATTTATTTATTTATTTATTGAATTGTCTACATATATGCATATACTAACTTTGTTATTCTTATCACCTGTATAAGCCTTATTATCAATATTTTGTTGATATTATCATAATCATCGTTATTAACTTCGTTCAAAACATTTACCACATTATTATTATGATGATGATTATTATTATTTGATCCACAAAATCACCGTCATTGGTTAAAATTTTATATATATAAGTCTATGTAAATTAGAGTAAAGCCTGAAGAAGAGAATCTAATTGAAAACAGCAATATTGTTCGCTTATATGTCTTGTTCTACCTACATACTTATCTATCCCCGAAACTTCAGATAAACTTGTTGGCTTCTAGGTTAACTTGCATTTCCTGTCGATTGATTTTATTCGACTGAAAAAACCGGAGTCTCCGTTGACATGTCGGCCTCTAAAACAGGTGATTTAACGTATTCGAAAGAGTAACAGGGTGTTATTTTGGTTAGTATTGACTACTAGCGTAATCCAGGATATAAAATTTCATTCTATTTGGAACTCGTCAGTTGGATGTAATTTCATCTTTAATCAGTGATCTTATTTCTACTGACAGTCGTCGTCTGTACCACTCGCTTCAAACATCATCTAGGTGCCTGTAATAGGGGTCAACTTGTAAACATGGACTGAGTACTTCTGTACAACAGAACTGATGGATGGGGAATGCAAATTAAGCTAAAAAAAATTTACTCATTGATACCTGTCGTAGGAAAAGTGGCTCTTATAGCCCAGTTACTCAACAGCTTGACGGCTGAATATTTGAAATGATGGGTGCAGGGTTCGAGTCTTAGTTAGATTGCCATTACTTATTGCGAATGCAACCAAATACGACTGAGGAACTCGAAATTTGATGAAATGAGCATCATAGATAGAATACCTCTGACAAACTTCAATGGTTTCCTGTTCTGTACCCCCCCCCAACTGACTGATATATGATATTTACTACGAATATGTCCTTCTATATCACACCTACGCCTTAATTATTAAACATTTAATAAATGTAAACCAAACTGACTCTAATGGGAATGTGAAGAAACCAAATGATGATACAGTCTCATCAAAATTCGTCTTATAAACGAGACTGAGTGAGATAGATTCACTTTAGCGGATTATTAGGGTGGTGAACTACTTCAAGACTGAGATTACTGTAAACCATAGAAAAGCACTTTTTAGACCGACGACGTGTTGTTTTCTGGATTATCCATTTTAACTCCTACCGTCGTCCTGTTTTTATCATTGATTATAATTATGACTGTATACCGATTGTTCAGACCACTAAAGGAAAATAAATGAGTGATAGTGAGTGGTAGTTTGGATGCCGCTCTTGTTAATCAGGAGGGCTTTTCAAGCAGATCAAAGTGGTCGGAACACAGGACAGACACTTAGTCCGTTTTAAACAAGGTGCTGTATCCAGTTTCATTCAACCCTGTTCAGACCACTCGAATTTCGGCTAGTTAGTAAATGAAAAATCCCCATATTGAAATCAAAACAAGATTTTGAGCGAACAGTTGTTTTTGATAACTTCTTCTTCAGGCTCTATAGTTATAAATTGATGAATAATAGAGTACATATAGCCAATAAAGGCAAATGAAAATAATATTAGAAACTGTACTGGGGAGCTATGTAAGTTGATATGATAGTCCATTAGTTAACATAGTCAATTAAATGTGTATAGGGTGTATAGTCAGAAAAAATGTGAAGTCCATTAGTTAACATACAGTTTCTGATATTATTCACATTTGCCTTTATTGGCTATGTGTACTCTATTATTGATGAATTTATAACTATAGAGCCTGAAGAAGAAGTTATCGAAAACAATTGTTCGCTCAAAATCTTGTTTTGATTTCGGCTAGTTACTTAGGCGTATTTGATTCAATTTGCCCAAGTAACTAGACAGAATTCAGGAGGTTTCAGTCGACTGGTCTCTCTGAGCTGATTCAAACCTGGTGGCGTCACCAGCTTAGCTGCAGGGAAGCATCTTTTTATTGCTCCTTTCATCCTCTTGTCAATCTTTTGCGATACTGCTTCGCCTTTGAATGGGAGACGAATGAACACTTTCTTCTTTTCAACTATTGGATACTTCGCTTTCTCACATTTTTTTTGCTTTGCTGTCCTTTAGGATAAATCCCTTTTTGGATACCCATTTTCTTGAGACATTTTTCAACAAAGCTTAATTCTTCTTCTACCTTGTTAGGCGAACATAACTTCCTGCCTCTGTCGTACAGTGAGTGTCCTTACTAATCCCCGCTTATAGCTTATGAGGCAGAAGCTGTCGCAGTGAAGATACTGTCCTGTCCATGTTTCTTTTCTATAGTTGGACTTTTCAACCATTCCATCTTTTCTTCTTTTTACAAGGATATTGTACTCGTCGTTGTGTTCATGACCCATGGTGAATTTAATGTTAAAGTGGTAAAATAATATGTATACCTGACTCATTTCGTTACAAACAACAAACGTATCATCGACATATTGACGACCGTAGGTTGTTTCTTTCATAACATCACTCAGTCGTATCTGTTCAGGATAACTGATGAAGAAATCGGCTAGAATAAGTCCTAGAGGTGAACCCATGGTGACCGCATCAATTTGTCGATAGAAGTGGTTGTTGAATTGGAATTAGAGGTCTTTTGTGCAAAGAATTATTAGGTGCCTCATCTGTGTTTCTGGTTATGGAAATGGATTTGTTTGTTTACAAATGATATTTAAATCATTTTGAGAGTTTTGCAAGCAGTAATGGTTGGTGTGATGGAATATAGCTACTTAAATCAAATAATCAGTAGTATGCAACAGTATACGAAATTTAAATATGGTTCGGATTATGCTTTTTCTCAAACTAACTAATAATCGAGCGTACTCATTGTCACAATTATCCTTTTTAGCCTGATATTCTGGAGACATATCATACTGTCTGGCAGTCAGTTAATGGTACACCGTTCGACACAAAAACAGAGATTACTGATACTGCTCGTGGAGTGTTTACAGTTCGTCTGCCTATTCCATATGAATCAGTTAACTCTGGAAATGAAACAATTATTGGTTATTTTGTCGGCAAAGATCCCATCTATACACCGTATTGGACAAGAATGACAGAACCGACTATAGTCGATACAGAAGCTGGAGAAAGTGAGTTATAATTTTCGCTTTCAAACAATATCAGTGATTAGTGCTCTTTCATAGATCTCAGAAAGGAGAGATTAAAAGGCTGAAAGTTATTTGAGTGATTGTGAATGAGCTTTGGGTTCATTGATTTTCCCTGTGAACGCAAAGAAACCTTTGCTGAGGAAGGTGTTTTGGAGAAAATCATTCAAACAAAGTAATTGTAGGTCTCAGAGGATGATGCTAAACTCAGCAAATATCTTCGTGTTAAGTAATCTACTGTCTGTGAGACTACTGTATATTCCATGGAGGATTTAATCATGAGCTGGCATCAGTTAAAGAACCACTGGAAAACCTGGGAGTACTGGACAGCTGCTTCGTCCTAGTTTGAGACTCTTCATCAGTACGCACCCCCCGAGTTTCGAACTCGGGGCCTTCTGGTTACTAGGCGAGCTCGTAGACCATTGAGCCACTGGGACCAACAGATGTTTATCCTGGCACCATATTGAAGATCATGTGAACACAAGGAACTAACGAAGAACCTACCGTTCACCAAATATAGAAAAGAAAATAAGGGTGGACAGGGCACATAAGAAAGAGGCAGTTCAGTGACATCGCGCCAAGACATTGCTTCAGTAGAATCCAAATATGAGACGAAAAGTGAGACGTCTGAGGATGACATGGAGGAGATCTTGTGGGGTAGGAGATGACAGACTATGGACAAGCATGGAGTTAGCTAAAGACGACTGCAGAGAAAATGAGAAGATGGGAATATGCAGGTGAAGTCATATATTCCACTGGCAACCCAAGGGATTAATAATGATAGTGCATCACTTAAATAATTTGTCATAAGTTGTGAATAAAATGGATCTTCATGAAAATCTTGGAGGATCTGTACTTCGCCGATGATATATGTCTGATTTCCCACAAATTGGATACGACCTCACTTCAGGTGAACATAGAGAAACCAAAGGTGATGAAGATTCCTGTCCAACAGCAACAGTTACAGCAACAACAACAGACAGCAATCAGCCAGCATCAATGGGAGGAACCTGAAAGAAACAACTTCCTTCACCTACCCACCTGGGAAGCATCGTTTCAACTACAAGCGGAACTGACGAGGATATTAAAGCGAGGATGGAAAAAGCAAGACAAGCATTCATTACTCTCAAATCTGTGTGGAGACCAACCCTCAGCGCTCATCATGAAAAATTACATCCGGATTTCCAACTCCAATGTGAATTCAGTGCTACTTACTGTACGGATCAGAGATTTGACCAGCGCGTCACAAAGGGTACTTCGAACAAACTACAGACTTTCACCAACAACTGTCTTCGCCCAATACTTCGCTCAAGATCAGATGGCCGGCGATAAAAGATCAGAAATGGGGAGGCATCTCTGGCGATGAAAGAACCAACCCAGCAGGAAACAACTGTGCAACAAATATGCAGGAAGAGATGGAAGCAGATTGGTTAGCCATACTCTGAGACAACAAACCATCAAGTGACATCACTAGACAAACCCTCGAGTGGAACCCGAATGGGAAGCAGAGAGTTGGTCGTCATTGTAAGGGTGGGGTGACATGGAGGAGGTGATGTGAAGAGGAGATGGAAGCATATGGGTAGATGTGGAGCCAGGTGATGAAAACGTTGGCACAGAACACCGAACACAATGGAGACGTGCAGCTGAAGCCCTATGTTTCTCTAGGAATTAAAGGAAGTAGCAATAAAATAATGTGAATATTCACCAATAGTTCCCATCCATCAATAGTGAAGATCATATGGCCGGCCAGAAAGGCCAAGCTGTCAGTAACTTCGGAAGTAAGTGAACCAGTCCTCTGCCTATCACCCAAAAAATATGCAGGGGAAATGGAAATGGATTAAAAGTACTCTGACAGGATACTCTAGTGGTACAACACGCCATACTCTTGAGTGAAACTCGAATGGGAAGTGAAGTATGATGGAGGAGTGGGAATGGAAGTCTGTAGATAGTCATAGAGTCATTTGGAGTAGATGGCATGGAACCAAGTGTAATCGTGATGTTCGGCCACTGAAAATTCAAAGTGAGTTCAACTTTTTTATTTCACTTGGTTCAAAAGGAATGAAAAACCGTATTTAAGGTAGATTAGAAATATTGTCTTGTCGTTAAATATCAACGAAACTTTGACTCCTGAGTCTGTGGATTACAGCTTTGAATCCAAGGCTATCTCCTCCGAGTTTAAAGATGGCTGTGACTGTGTCGTCAGTTTTCAGCGAAACCCAATGTAGATTATTCAAGGATTATAAGCGAAGTATTTGGTCAAGTCTTTATTGTCAACTTTGAGCGTCTTTAAAGAATGATCATATAAAGTAATGATATAAGGAAGTTAGTTGTCACCTGGCGACTTGATTTTATCTCGGAAATACTGTGGTGAGAGCAGGCCGTGAGAAAATATGTACAAGGCTGATTTAACAACCAATCACAGCAAAGTTAACGTGGCAAAATATGACTCGCAGATAGAGAACTCTATTTGTCGAGGAATCCCTAAACAACCAATCCGAAGCCTGCGTTTGTCTGCCTAACTTCTGATAAACAACCAATCAGAAGACTGCGCTTGCCTACTTGCATAAGCTATAATAATGTATGTGAAATATGTATAAATACGTGTTGATTTTCGTCATAAAACGATCTGTTGCCTGGCCCTTGTCTTCTGTTGTTACAATACCACTTGTATACCACATTTTTATATTTTTTTCTCTAAGTTATTAGTTTTATTCATTGTAATTACCTTCAAATGATGGATGACTCGTGTATCCTTTCGACTTACTTTGAAATTTTAGTCAGCCCAGATGACATTATCAATCCTCCTGCAGAAGTGTCTATTCCATTCATGCAACCGTATACTATCCGAGTGGGTACAAAACCAGGCAAAGAAGATATCAGTGTAATTTGGAGAAAAGTTGGACCACTTCCTGAAACAGTAGTTACAGAAAAGAAACCTGCTGGTGAAGAAGAAGAAAAAGTAGAACCAAAAGAGATTGATATCAGCCTACCTGAAGGTGTTACACCAGGTAAAACAAATCTTAATATTTGGGCTGCTGCTGAACAACATGAAGGTGTTTATGAAGGGACTGTTGTCCGTGATCGTGATGGTGTAGAAGTGAAACGTGTTCAGACAATTATACGTTTAAACCAATGAGTCAAGGTGGAAAACAGAATTAGGTCTTGCTGAAGCCGCTGAGACTATTGAAGATGATACTGATGGGGATGATGTTGATGAAGAAGGAAAAGAACTTCAAACATGGGATTTTATAGTTAGTGGTTTTACACCTGATGCTCAACACTGTGAACATCCTACTTGGACAGTGGTTGATTATCAAATAAATAAGACTGTTGATATAACAGATAAAGGTGAGTAGTTTTCACTTATCAGTTCAATGTTCAGCGATCCACTGACACAATTTCAGGCCTTTGCGTAAAGTAACAAATAATTATAATACTAATAATAATTTGCTTTATTCCAAAACAGTACTTGTGATACAGAATGGAATTCTCAGCATTTCAGTACATACAGTATCGCATCCAGTTTGTACATTAACAATAAATGAAATTCTACATAGATTATGGGTAATCTCAGTTAATTTTGACAACAACATATTAGCTAGCATATCGGTAGCAAAGTCAAAAGTGAACAGAATGTTTGAAGGTGTTAGAAAAGTGGATATACTAGCATATTTATTGGCGTAAGCGGTAACAAAAAGGTCGAGATAGATATACAGAATGTGAAAGAACGAAGAGAATGTTTTAACTAGAGTTTTTAAGGAGGAAAGAAACAAAGCAGCACATAACAGAAAAAGGAAAGAGAGAGAGAAAACGGAAAGAAAGAAAAAAACGTTGTACTTATAAATGATATGAGTTAGAAAGACAAGATCCAGTTGTTCTACTGCCCATTTAATAAGTTACAAGTTTCACGCCTAATGCTTTCTTTACCACACAGAACACGAGCCAAGTAGGTAGGGTATGGTTGAGTTTTTGTACTTGCTAGTGCGAGCATATAGTTTTCTATATAGGCTTCTGGTCCTCCCAGATGACATACAAGGGAGAGTTTTGAATGAAGAGGGTGATGGTGTGAGTTGGATAGAGAGAATGGATTTAGCCCACTTTTCACATGAGTCCGAATGCCTGTCGACCAGAATATGAACAAACCTGGTTAAGTGGCAGCCCTGTGGCTTACCCTGCTGACAACCTTTAACACCCAACGTAATAAGATATAATCCTTTTTCAGTAACCCAGGAAAAACTAAGGGGGAACAATAGAGAATAATAGGCAGAATGCGAGAGTTAGCGAATCATAAGAGTAGGCTTTGAGTTGTGTTATTCCAGAATGTCTTAACTTTATGATGTAGAAGGTAAGACGGAATGTTTTCTTAGAAATCATCAAGATATGAGACGACCAGGAAAGATCAGTAGATAGAATGACGCCAAGATATTCAATTTCTGACTTGGTCTCTATTTGTGCGTCGGTGACACAGTGGTTAGGACTCTCACCGACCATGCATATGGTCCGCGGTTCGAGCCCACGCCGACGCACACCTGATATCTATGGTCGGCCTGCAAAATTTGGGCTACCGATATCCATGCTGAAAATTCCATACTTGTACCAAAAGTACATTGTGAAATCAAACTGTAATCAAAAAAAATATATAAAAAAATTTAAAAAATATTTCAGTGCCATCTATGTTGCACACCTCGTGAGTTCTAACCAGTTTGTTTAGGTCAGATTTATGCCTAAAGGTGAAATTGACTGTTTGGGATTTAGAGGGGTTTAAGGTAAACCGTTTACCTTGGACCACTGGCTGATTTATGATAAAAAACCATTTAGTTTGGAGCAGTCACTTTGCCACTTGACAGGCAAAGATACTGTCAGCTCGTCAGCATATTTAACAAAACTAATGTCATTTGAAAGTGGTTGGTCATATAGAAAGAAAGAAAAGAGAAGTGGCTGTCTTCCTCAAAAAGACGTCGATTTAGTCTAGTGACTTGGATTTCACGGACAAATCTACGAATGAAGCCACGAAAGTGGTCACTTCATTGAGTCACATTCTCATAGCAGTTGTTCACAAGCTGTAGCAACTAGAGTAAAGCGATTATCCAGTTATCCAGTTATCGGTGGTTAATCATTTCTTCTTTCTCCTTCTGCTATTCAGTGGATCGTACTTCGGACACACACTTCAAGGTAAATTATCCCCTAACAAGTGGATTATATCTACGTTTTCAATGTCAACCAATACCGAAGAGTAATCTAACTGGAGAGATCAGATTTAATGTTTGTAAGTTGTAATGGATTAACTTTTTTTTTATACAAAATCATTATTGTTTTAAATTGTTGGTGATCAACAATGAAATCTAGGCGGCACGTTTCGTCCCTTCTTGCATGAACTTGTCATCTGGATGTACCCATCTTCTAATGTATGATTGTTGTCGTATTATGACTTTATTGTATCGTATCATAAAAGACATAGTTGTCCATAGACAAACTGTGACCAATGTGATCAAGAGACACTCAGAGAAAAGTTGTTCTTTCCACAGATGTCATTCTCAAAATTAACAGTCGTATAAATTGAGAACATAATATTCAGTGAAGGAATCTTTCCTACAACGAATTTATTATTAAGCTGTACCATTGTATATATATGGTTTTCTTTATGAAATTATATCCGGTGACGAAATCAGATCAAAGGTGTGAATACATGAAATAATAATAGTGGTAGTATGAAATGGAATTAAAATATTTGTGATTATATTCATAGTTAAATGTCAAGTGGCAAAATAATTAATGTCATATATAGAATAATACATAAGTGTATAGATTTTGGAAAGGTATACATAATTATAAGATTAGTAGACGAATATAAAATGTTACATAATATGATGTGAAATTCGATAAAACAGAACTCAATATTGAAAAAACAAAAAACATAATAAATTTTGATTTAAAATGACAAGTAGGGCAAGTGGAAAAGATTCAGAGTGAGAATAGTAATAATAATAATGATAGTAATAATAATAATAATCGTAGTAATAAGGGAAAAGTACATAGAATAACTAAATAAACAAAGTAAATAAATGTCTATCCTCTACGGCCAATGCAGAAGTAGGGATTGCACATACTTCTTTTGTACACGGAGATATGCCTTGCTTAAAGTCATGAATTACCAAAGCCTCTGCTGTCTTCAAAGTCTGTGACAAAGAAAACGCAACCGGCAAGTTAGCATGGATTCTGTATATGATCTTAAAATTATGGTTAGGTTTGGTAGAGTGACATGCGTCGATCATGTGTTCTAGAATAAAGCTTCGCACACACTTCCTTTCTCCCTTGTAAAACCAAGCTTCTGGAATATGTTCTTGTATCGGTGTGGAAAGCGGTGTTCTCTGGCTACGACAATATACCTTGTTCCACAAGAGAAGAAGGTGAACTGACAGATGCACATGGAAGCGGCCCGAAGAGGGAGTGTATCTTTTCAGTCGTATAAATAAAGCTGTTTTAGCAAAAAAAAAGTATTTTCAAAGACTTATCACTGAACTCTTGACTTCAAGACAATAATCAAGAGATTGTGATGCAGATATGTACGTAGTACAGAAGCATTTTCAAGTAGAAATTACAATTACATTACGTAGGTAAAGTGAGCAACGTAAAGTAACTTCTAACAGTTAGTCTGCAGGGAAATGATTCGCTTCGAGTTTGATCACGAATTGGTGGAAATTGGAATTCAAAGGCTATTGGGTAGGGTCTCACTGGATGAGTGTTCTATGATGTTGCCTTGTGACTGGTGACTCCTTGGTTCAGACCTCGGTAGGGGGATACCACTGAAGAGTCCCTAACTAGGGTGAAACAGCTGTCAAATATTCTCTGGTCGGTTTTCAATGGTTCGGTAACCAACATCAGTTCGTTACACAAAGCAGTTGACAAAACTTAGTACCCATGAATTAGAAGTGCTAGAAACCTAGGTTAAGATCGATGTAATGAAGAATATGCGTATGACAGTGTGTAAACAGACAAATACTAGGGGTTAAATGGTTAGACAAATTAGTTTAATTGCTAGATAAACGTCTTTTGTGTGCAAGGTTTGGCCTTAGCATATTAGGATTACGACTTCTTCAGTTTTAAAACATTTGGTTAGCATCCTTTTGGCAAGGTTCGAATTCGCTCTGCGCGTCTGCTTAGTGGCTGGAGTTAATCAGTAGAAGTACAAAAATTGTCATGTTGTTTGATGGCCCCAACAGTTATTATTATTATTGTTTTATTTAGTTCCTAGAGGAGCATAGGCTTCAGCCGCGCGTCTCCATTGCGTTCGGTTCTCTGCCAACGTTTTCACCTGGCTCCAAGTCTGCCCACATACTTTCGTCTGCTCTTTACATAACCTCCAATATGTCACCCCACCCTCGCACTGACAACCAACTCGTTGCTTCCTATTCGGGTTCCGCTCGAGCAACGACCTAGTGTGTGATGTCACTCACTTCATGGTTTGTTTTCTCAGAGTATGGCCAACCAATCCACCTTCATTTCTTCCTGCATATTTGTTGCCCAGTTGGTTCCTGCTTGTATACAATTGGTGGATGGTGGCTAGCAGTGGATTCCAGGATGCGCATTTCGTCCTATTTGGGACTCGTCATCGGGATGTACCTGCATTTCTCAGTGAGTGATGATGTTCCCACCGAGGCTCGAACCCAGTGCCATAGCTTCAAACGCCAAAGCGTTATCCACTAGACCACTTGAACCACGAGAGCCACCTCTTGTGCAACGGGTCATATTAATTATTGAATTGAATTTTTGATTTTCCCGTCGATTGATTGGACTGAAGTGCTCGGTCTCAGGTTGACATGTCGGCTTCTTGTGCAGATGCTTCGACGATGTCTGGGGATTTGATTTGTATACAATTGGTGGTGGTCTAGTGGTCTAGTGGATAACGCTTTGGCGTTTGAAACTAAAGGCACTGGGTTCGAGCCTCGGTGGGAACAACATCACTCACTGAGAAATGCAGGTACATCCAGCTGACGAGTCCCAAATAGGACGAAATGCGCATCCTGGATTCCACTGCTAGCCACCATCCACCAGTTGTATACTAATTAAATGCCCAGACATCGTCGAAGCATCTGCACAAGAAGCCGACATGTCGACCTGAGACCGAGCACTTCGGTACAATCAATCGACAGGAAAATCAAAAATTCAATTCAATGGTTCCTGCTTGGTTGGTTCGTTCATTGCCAGAGATTCCTGTTCCTAATCTTTTATGGCCGGTCATCTGATCTAGAGGGAACACAGCTGTTGATGAAAGTCTTTAGTTTGTCCGAAGTGCCCTTCGTGACACAGCGTGGCGCCAAGTCTCCGATCCACATAGTAAGTAGCACTGACTTCATATTGGAGTTGGAAATCCGGATCTTATTCTGATGCTGAGTGCTGCTCATCTCCTCTACACAGACTTGAGAGAGATGAAAGCTTGTCTTGCTTTCCTGATCCTTGCTTCGATATCCTCATCAGTTCCGCCAGTCTGTAATTCAAACGATGCTTCCCAGGTGGGTAGGTAGGTAGCTAGGTGAAGGAGCTTGCTTCCTTCAGACTTCTCCTATTTGTGCTGATTGTTGTCTGTTGTTGTTGGCCAAGAATCTTCATCACCACCTCTGTTCTCTCTATGTTCACCTGAAGTGACATTCCATCTTTGATGCTTCTTCTGCCATCAATAATTGGCAGAAATGCAAACAGTAAATTATGTAAAATGAAGAATCATTCGAATTTTCAGTTGTATTCTTTCTTTGAGAACAACGAATGTTTAGAAATAGTAAAAAAGGGTTTTTAACACAAATAACACTTGAATTTCAATGCCAGGCTTCATAGTAAGTTTTCATGGATGAGAGAATCTTGTCTCTGTCTTAAAACCATACTATTTATTTACCTCCTGCAGGATAGCATAATTTAGACATCTTTGATATTAGACGATTGGAGGCAATCGGCTACAGGAAGCCCTGTCAGTGGCCACTCATCAGTTAGCAAGGAGTATCTGCAATCTTGGAGAAACTCATATCCCTCCAAGAGAATCAAACCCGTATCGCCTAGTGAGTAATGTAGTCAGAAACCTCAATACTGAGCTATTCGGGCTCGTGACTGACCTCCCATAGCACTGTATTAAATGCTTTGATGGCTCCAAGTATCTGATATCAGCAATTCAAAGTGCACCGTGATAGCGAGCCACCTAGTGGCATCATAGCCATATTGCACACTTGACTGACAAATAGAATTTAGTTTGCACCGAACAAAGGACTAGACACTTTCACTAGTTACTGACTAGTGCCCAATCAAAAAAGGCATCTATTTTAAGGACAGAAGGGACTGCTGGCTTTAAGTGTAACTGTCGTGTACACTTGTTCGACAACTTCAAAATTTTAAAACAATTAGTTCCGTTTATAAATTTTGACGAGATAATATGAAGACATAAATTGTCTAAAATTTCATACATTTATTCCCTTAATGAATTTGAATAGAGCAAGAACTATAGTGTTAGCAGAATAAAGCGGTACCATCTTTTATTTCGTTGCCTTCTCTCACATCAAGGAGATGCCTGGCGATGACACTGTTTGAAGCGTTTGTTCCCTTTAGATGTAGGCTTTTTGGTACACGTTCTTCCATTGTAACTGCTCCAGCAGATACATGTAAATTTGTCTGAAGTGGGTAATGTTATTGCGCAATACACCTCGAACAACCTGATCACACACTAACTTGTCATAAATATATATATTCATGTGAAAATAAAGAGTTAACGGGTGAGAAATTTTTTTTATTGTCATTACCTTTCATCACACCAGCTGTACAAATATTTTTTGTAGAAATACTCTTAAATTTTTATTCTTCGTTTTGTTATCATTTTAGCCTCTCCTGATCCACGTATTATACTGAAACCGTTTTATGATAATCCCGATTCTACTTTCCCAACAAGGCTAGTCTGTTTGGATGTCAATCCAGAATATGATTCATCAATAAGCCTAACATCATCGTCAATGAGTCAAGAGAAAATTTCTGTAAGTGAATTCTGCATGGCTTTATTCGTAGGAACATTCTAAAACTTCATACAGCATTGCTCATTGTGATTGATTCTGAGTGATTGTAGAAGATTAGAAGAATTCAAAGATATGTTTTGTAGGGATTCGATTGATTCGTTGAAGGATTTCATCATGAGCTGACACTGGTTGGAGAACCACTGGAAAACCAGCTGTTAGTACTGAACTCTTCAGTAGTACGCACCTATCACAGGAGTTTGAACCGAGGATTTTCTGATTACAAGTAGCAGAGGTTTGAGTTCATGGATTGGCGATTGGATCGGGTCCCAGTGGTCACTTCATGGTCTACGAGCTAGCTCGTCTTGTAACCAGAAGGTTCTGGGTTCGAACCCCCGTTGTGGTGGTTCCGTACTGCTTGAGAGCTCCAAGCACTAGGAGGGAACAGCTTTCCAGTACTCCAGTGCTGATTTTCCAATGGTTCTCTAAACTACGTCAGCTCGTGATGAAATCCTATAATCATTTAAGAAGAATTTCATGGTGAGTCTTGATTTTTTTATATGTTAAGAGTCCTCTGGGGCCAGTCATTGACAATGTATCCATTCCAGTCTTGGTCCAAGAATGATAGTCGGAACTCCTGTGACTATAGTAAAGGTTAGAAAGAGAGAGTGTCAGTTTTGCATAACGTTTCAAATGTACCCTCCAGACATGAAATTTTCAAAAAGGAGGATGATACTTCTGTTGGGATTACAGATATTCCTTGTTAACAGGTGTCAGTAAACTGGATGTCTAGGACGTCCTTCTGATTACATCTAACATTCCAATCCATTCCAGATCATAACAAAATGTTGAGTCTTCTAGTTAGCTAGGTAGCCAGAAAATCACAAAGTAGGCTGACAAAATTTCGTTAGCATTAAGGACAGTGTAACACCATCAATTGAGTCACAGTCTCTTTCAATGAATAACTTCAAAGTGGGTACAGTTCGAGAGAAGCTGTCATTTTATATTATGGCACACTTTTTTCACTTTAATGTCAACTACCACTATACTTCATAACTTAATTTCAAGAGATACACTTGGTAACTCAGAAAAATTCAAAAATTCAGGCTTCTAAAATGTCTCTAGCATTCTTACAACAAGAATGCCAGCGTATCATTAGAAGCCTAGTATTCCAGTGAATCATCAATCAATAGACACATTGAGATAGACAAAATTTACCTACCGACAAGGAGGAAATCTCACACACAAAGATTCCAAGTCTAAGTCAAGGAAACAATCAGCTCCAATACAAGTAGCCTAGAGGGTATGAAAACACACAAAAACAACCACTCACGTTCTAGCTGACCAGGAGAGATAACTAATTAACTCGTGGAAAAATTTAAAAGCTCACTTCAACGGACTGAAGTATGCACTGAAGATGTTGCCTAGTTGGGGGCGATGAAAACTTCGCAAATTAACTATCCAGCTGAGAGAACACAACCACATCAATGGCTATCGTTATAATATGGTCTCCAATATTATTTTATTTATCCTAAGACTCAAAGTGGCTTGTCTGGTACAGTTACTCGTAAGCGAAGGAATTACATACAGTTTGTTTGATGATGACTGGCAGTGGACTGTAGGCGAAACGTTTCTTCCATGTTTTAAACCAGTCAGTTAGATGTACTGGCATCCCAGTGTGTGGTAGCATTCCAACTTCTACTTAAACCCAGCACGTATCATTTCAAATATTATTTAATTATTTGATTTGTAGAAATTTGACTGATTGCTTACAGGATTTCATCATGAGCTGAGGTTGGGGTTAGAGAACCATTGGAAAGCCACCAGGGATTAATGGCCAGATGTTTTGTCTTAGTTTAGGACTCTTTAATAGTACACACAGGGGTTCGAACCTACCAACTTTTGGTTACAAGGCAAGACAAGCTTGTAGACCATTAAGCAGCCGCTGGGACCGGATCCGATTGCCGGCCCAATGAATTCTAATCTCTGCCAACTCACGACATAGCGCGACCACTTGTAACCAGAAGGTCCTGGTTTCGAACAACTGTGATGGATGTGTACTGATGAAGAATCTCAAACTAAGACGATAAAGCTGTTCAGTACTCCCAGTTAGTTTTCCAGTGGTTCTCAAACCAGTGTCAGCTCATGATGAAATCCTGTAACCAATCAAATATTACTTCTTATATTAAGACCTCGACTATCGGAAAAATCATAGAATTTCAGTCTCCTGTTCCTCATGCATAAAATTTAATGAGCTTTCCTCACCACTGAAGTTTTTTTTCGAAACATCTTCTCATGATCTTATGAAATCTAAGTGGCAAAGTTAAACTTGAAACACCACTAACTACCAATCAGCGAATGACCTCGAATGCACCAGTCACGTGTAAAGGAGGCACTTTTGTATATGGAATATGTATTTATTTATGGAAAAAATGCTTAAAATCTGTAAGAAGGTGTTGTAGAGGATACCTTGCTCTCACATGTGATAAGAATTGCTCTCAGTTTTAAGTTGGAGTATCAACAGAGAGTATAATTCCATTGTGGGTAAAATTTATTTTGATAAAGTCTCATGGTGTAATACATTAATATTTACTGGACAATAAATTGTACTCGAAATGTTATCAGTAAGCTCGACTGTATAACACTATGAGACTTCATCAAAATAAATTTTACCCACAATGGAATTGTACTCTACTACAGTGCACAAGTTCTATTCTTATATCAACAGAGTAATTTAACCACATTTTATGCATGTAATTATTTGGGTTTTCTAAACATAACAATAACCCTAATCTTTCCTGAACCTGTTTGCAACGTAAAAATATCCCTAAACTAACTTTAAACTAAAGCGAAACAACCCTAATGTCTCCTACATTAGGTTAACCTAATCCTAACTTGTTCTTGACTTGTAGAATAACTTAATCTTTCCCAAACCTAAGCTGAAACTTGTCAGATATCCCATTTAATAGTATAAAACTTCGATGAACATTTTTTATTGATGACGACAACATTATTTGCCAGGTCTCACCAACTTGCTCAGTGAGTGTTTCAAGGTCACCGGGGTGTGTGTCGTCGCCCTCCATTGGTAGTTGTTAGCGGTGCTTAAAGTTTAACTTGTCCATCCAAATATTTAACTAATATGAATCCCGATATTGTACAATGTTCATTGTTTTTTTTTAAGATAAACTTTCACAACAACGCAACACAATTTACCCTTAATTTATTTTCAATTTTATTGCATTTTTTTGTTCAGTATGCAACTGTTCCAGCGGATAAAGTAATAATGATAAGAAAAGGTGATATACCGGCTAGTCGTCGGTTAGAAATTGATTGGAGACGTATCGGTGAATTTGATCCATACAATGATGCTGGATATTATACGTGTTTTGTAAATAATACTGAAACAAACGGATCAAGAACGATTAAGATACCAGCCGATAAAGTTCCTGTTCTGTGTAAGTTAGATTTGGTGTCTTTTTTGTTTAAATGTGGTTTATATTTAATTCTATTGTGGGTAAAAATTTATTTTTAATAAAGCCTCACAGTGTTTGTTATACAGTAATATTTAGAGATGACAATATTTTGAGGACAATTTATTACTACTGCTCATAATCATATCACCCAGCAACATCCAGTGCCAATCACCATCAACGGGAGGGATTTGAAAGAGGTTACTTCATCCACTTATCTAGCACTGAGCATTGTCTCAACTACAGGCAACGTCAAGTCAGTCAGCTGTTCTATACGGATCAGAAACTTGTCGGACGGGTCATAAAAAATCTTTCCAACAGCCTGTTGCAGACGTTACATTTATCAACCAACAACTGTCTTCGCAGGCTCTATACTGAAGATCAGATGGCCGGGTCATAAAGAATCGGTGGCACAGTGGTTAGGACTCCCGCCGACCATGCACATGGTCCGGGGTTTGAGCCCACGCCGGCGCACACCTGATATCTATGGTCGGCCTGCAAAATTTGGGCTACCGATATCCATGCTGAAAATTCCATACTTGTACCAAAATTACAGTGTGGAATCAAGCTGTAAATCCAAAAAAAAAAATCACCAACAAGAAATTATGGCAACAAACAAAACAAGAACCAATCGCCAACCAACAGATATGCAGGAGAAAGTGGATTGAGATGGATGGGACACTCTCTGAAAAGGCCACTGGGTGACATTGTGCGCGCGTTAGGCTATTGCTGGAGTGGAACCAGGCCGAAAGGGAAGCGGCGAGTGGGACGTCAGTGCAACGGGTGAAATGGAGGAGATGGTGCGAAGAGGAGTTGAAACAGTATGGACTAACATGGATTCAGGTGAAAAGTACAGCAGAAGGAAGACAGAAGTGACAAGTGGAGACGTGCAGTTGAAGCCCTATGTTCCACTAGGAACCTGAGGGAAGAATATTAATAATATAATCATATCAAGGCGCTACTCACACAATCTTCTAACCTTGTGCGTCGGTGGCACAGTGGTTAGGACTCTCGCCAACCATGTACATGGTCCGGGGTTCGATCCCCTGCCGACGAACACTTGATACTTATAGTCGGCCTGCAAAATTTAGGATACCAGTATCACATGCTGAAAATTTTATACTTCTATCAAAAAGTACTGTGTGAAATCAAGCTGTAATCAAAAAAATAATATATATATAAATATATAATTTCTTTATTTTCATCTCTTGACTTGATTAGTAGGAGTATTTTTCATATTTGTGATGTAATTGATGAATCGTTCCTATTGCAGGTGTTGGATGTAAACTCGAAGAACAAGGATTGAGCAATCAATCTCTCTCCACCTACCTAGTTTACCTTCTAGAATCTTAACCTCCTCCCACCTAGCTAGTGTGTGGTTGTGTGTTAATCCATGCAGTGCAATTGCCAAGCTTTTTTTCTAAATTACTAGTCTTCGTTAGTAGGATCAATCATTCTAACTTTAACTAAATTCTTACATCCGAACAATCTGAATATCCCCAATCTACTGGTTTGACCTATGTAGGTGACCTCACTGACAGTCATTGCAAAATATTTTGTAAATTATATTATTTTATATAATTGTGTCAACCGACAGGGTCATTTAACCTACAGAGCTTTTCCTCCGTGAGTGAGTTTGTAGATTTGAATGCCACCCTAATTCCTGATTTATTACGAATCCAACGTAGGGTCTCAGATGTCCCCTCCGTATATGGTATGGCAGTAGACGCCTTATATTCTCTCTTATTTATGTTATCATTACTAGTTCCACCATTAGTTTTATTTCGCTTTTGACTTATACGATAGCTGTTTAACACCATCGCTTCTTCTATCTGTTTTATTTCATCGTTTAGGTTTTTAGTTGTACTACTTAGTGCTCTTGCTCGGTTTGTTAGACAGTTAAGCAAGCCTGCCTTTAACAGACAACGGATGAGATGAATTAAAGTCTAAATATTTATTAGAGTAAAGCTGGTTTTTTATAAAAGCTAGTGTGCAGTCTACCTTCTTCTATCAGTTAATATTACTGTACAACACTGTGAGACTTTATCCAAATAAATTTCATCCACAATAGAATTATACTCTACCACAGTGCACAAGTGCTAGTCTTACATCAATAGTTTATATTTAGTTAATGAACTCTTGAAGACTTATTAACTTGTCAAAGCCAGCCAGAATCGGAAATGCGAGAAAAGTTTTCACCAACGAATCTGAAACCAGTTTTGGAAATCGTCTGCATTCAGAACAAGGAACAAGATTTGCATTTTCAGCACGTTTTAAGTCAGTCAGTTCACCTATTATACAGTTAAAAATCTTGACCAGCGTGTTACGAAAAATATTTCTAACAAGCCACTTTAGACTTTTATTAACTGCTGCCCGCCTCGCTGAAGACCAAGCGGTCAACTAGCCAGAAAGAATTACCAACAAGAAAGGCTGACTGGTGACAAACCAACAAACAAGAGCCGACTGCTCAACAAACCAATACTTAAAAATTCATCTGATGCTCACTAGTGACTGGCCCTATTCAGGCAGTTAACCTGGGGTTCTAGTGGGAAGCCGTGACAAGTAGGGTACAGCAGGTTGAAGATGAGGCAGCAACTCATCGAAGAAGACATTGCGAAGTGGTCGCGCTATGTCGTGAACTGGCAGAAGTTAGAATTCAAGGACCATTGGATCGGGTCCCAGTGGCTCAATGGTCTACGAGCTCGCCTTGTAACCAGAAGGTCCTGGGTTCGAATCCTGGCGGTGGGTGCGTACTGCTGAAGAGTCCCAAACTAGGACGAAACAACTGTCCAGTACTCCCTGGTGGTTTTCCAGTGGTTCTCTAACTGATGTCAGCTCATGATTAAATCCTCCATGCAATCAAATATGTAGACGAAAATGGAAATGGGTCGGTTGGGCATACGTTGAGAGCGCCGTTGAATGGCATTGCTCTCAATTCAGGACATCTTTCCAGTGGAAGGCGAATAGGAAGTAACGAGTGGTTGGTCAGTGAGAGGGTGACATGGAGGAGATCATGAGAGGAAGAGGAGGAGGAGGAGATCACAGATTTTGGGTAATCGTGTGGTTAGCCAGCTGAAGAAGACAGAAGAAAATAAAAGAGAGAGGAGATGTGTTGTTGAAGTCATCCCTATGTTCCATTCGGAACCCAAAGGAATAATAATATCAAGATACTCACATAATTTTTAGATTTGTAGTCCTGCTTTTCCTCATCTTTCACCTTCATTACTATTAATAATTTCCACATTTCTGGCACCGATGTTATGTCATTCCGATTGCACATGTTAGAATTAGATTTGATTTCGTGATCCATCTCTCCCTCCAACTTCCTTATAATATTTTTAGAATTGCAACTATTTTTTTATATTCCGCAAAAAGGTATACTGGGGTTAAAAAGGTAGGCATACTTAGTTGAACAGAGAAGCCGTGATCACGAACATCGCTTGCCTACTCGATTATTGGATACTACAGCTACCGGAATCTCCAACCCTCCCTACTTAAGCAAGAACACCTAACGACATGAGACGTAAAGAATATTTATCAGTACATTTACCAAAGGGAACAATGATACATATATGCCCAATAAATTAGGCGTGAGAAAGGATAATCCAGTGGACATTGATCACCACTATCAATACACTGCCCCACCCCTGTTGCGTGATTCTTCATTAGTCCATGCGCTATGAATGCTGAGTTTTCCTCTCTTAACTGTTCATCTACGTCGGTTTTATCATTCTACACTTATCTAAATTCTTCTGTTCCAATAATTTAACTACCTGAGGTCAATTTAATTGAATCTGAGATTTTCCCGTCGATTGATTGGTCAAAATGCGCATCCTGGATTCCACTGCTAGTCACCATCCACCAATTGAATACTAATTAAATGCCCAGACATCGTTGAAGCATCTGCACAACAAGCCGACATGTCAACCTGAGACCGAACACTTCGGTCCAATCAATCGATGGGAAAATCAAAAATTCAGTTCAATAATTAATATGACCCGTTGCACAAGAGGTGGCTCTCGTGGCCCAAGTGGTCTAGTGGATAAGGCTTTGGCGTTTGAAACTATGGGCACTGGGTTCGAGCATCGGTTGGAACATAATCACTCACTGAGAAATGCAGGTACATTCAGCTGACGAGTCCCAAATAGGACTAAACGCGCACTGCCCTGGAATCCACTGCTAGTCACCATCCACCAATTAAATACCTGAGATCAACTTGTCTGTCCCATGTAGTTGACCCCGCAGTCACTGAGGTGTATTTGCAGATTGCATTGCCTTGTCTCATTGCGTCAGAAGGGTGCTTTAGCCTATATAAGGTGAGCCTAATTGAGTTTGTAAGTTTGAATGCCATGCTGATTCCTGCTTCATTCAATTAATTAATTTCTTCCATCTTTCATTTATTTCCAACTCCTACTTATGTTACTTTTTCAGTAGTATAAAATTTAAACATCGCCAAATGTCTTCTCTCCGCACCATCCTGGAGAGAATCAAACACGCCACCCTGTGTGAAAAACTTCGACCGAAACAAGCTGGATTCAGAAGAAAAAAGTTATGTATTGATCAAATCGTAGATCAGCTCGTAGACCATTGAGCCACTGGGACCAACAGATGTCTTTCCTGGCACCATATTGAAGATCATGTGAACACAAGGAACTAATGAAGAACCTACCGTTCACCAAATATAGAAAAGAAAATAAGGGTGGACAGGGCACATAATAAAGAGGCAGTTCAGTGACATCGCGCCAAGACATTGCTTCAGTAGAATCCAAATATGAGACGAAAAGTGGGACGTCTGAGGATGACATGGAGGAGATCTTGTGAAGGAGGAGATGACAGACTATGGACAAGCATGGGTTAACTAAAGACGACTGCAGAGAAAATGACAAGATGGGAATATGCAGCTGAAGTCATATATTCCACTTGCAACCCAAGGGATTAATAATGATAGTGCATCACTTAAATAATTTGTCATAAGTTGTGAATAAAATGGATCCTCATGAAAAACTTGGAGGATGTGGACTTCACCGATGACATATATATGTCTGATTTCACACAAACTGGAAGATACGCAAGTGAAAAGCAACAAGTTTTCACAGAAGAATTATCAAAGATAGAATGTCACTTCAGGTGAACATAGAGTAGACGGAGGTGATGATGAAGATTCCTGGCCAACAACAACAGACATTAATCAGCACAAATAGGAGAAATCTGAAGGAAGCAACCTATCTGGGAAGCATCGTTTCAACTTCAGGCGGAACTGACGAAGATGTCAAAGTGAGGATAGGGAAAGCAAGGCAAGTTTCGACTACTCTCAAATCTGTGTAGAGGAGATGAACTACACTCCTCAGAGTGAAAAGTAAGATCCAGATTTTCAACTCCAATGTGAAGTCAGTACTACTCACTATGTGGATCAGAGACTTGGCACCGTGTCATGAAGGCACTTCGAACAAACTAAAGACCTTGATTAACAGCTATCTTCGCTCAATACTCAAGATCAGATGACCGGAAAAGATCAGAAACAGGGATCCCTGGGAGCGAACCAACAAGGAACCGATTGTGGGGCAAGTATGCAGGAAGAAATGGAGATGGATTATCTGGCCATACTCTGAGGAAACCATCAAGTGACATCACATGTCAGGCCATCGGTCGAGTGGAACCCGAATGGGGAGCGGCGAGTTGGTTGGTCGTCAGTGTGAGGTTGACATGGAGGAGGTCAAGTGAAGAGGAGATAAAAACATGTTGGCAGACTTGGAGCGGGGTGAAAACGTTGGCGGAGAACCGAACGCAATGGAGATGTGCAGCTGAAGCCCTATGTTCCCCTAAGAATTAAAGGAAGTAATAATACTTCTTACATCCTCAACACAAGTTTCCATATAATTTTTTTCTTTGTTTTTTTTCAGTACCTGAAGATCCATTTACACGACTGTATATCTATTCACCGGATACTTATGTTGTTCCTGAAGCTGATGGAACAGGAGCTAAAGTAATGATACCAGAAGGCGAAAGACTACGAGTAAGTTTATATTGGTGATTTTAAACACCACTTTCTATCCAATAATAAATTCTTCCGATTTGGATGATTTAATAACGATAATAATTTGCTATATTCCAAAACAGTACTTGTGATACAGAATGGAATTCTCAGCATTTCACTACATACAGTATTGCATCCAGTTTGTACATTTACAATAAATAAAATTCTACATAGATTACGGATAGTCTCAGTTAGTTTTGACAACAACATATTAGCATGTCGGTAGCAAAGCCAAAAGTGAACAGAATGTTTGAAGGTGTTAGAAAAGTAGGTATACTAGCATATTTACTGGCGTGAGCAGAAGTAAGAAATAAAGCTGCACATAACAGAGAAAAAAAGAGAGAGAGAGAAAACCAAAAGAAAGAAATAAAACGTTGTACCTATAAATGATATGAGTTGGAAAGACGAGATCCAGTTGTTCTACTGACCATTTAATAAGTTACAAGTTTCACGCCTAATGCTTTCTTTATCGCACAGAACACGAACGAGCCAAGTAGGTAGGGTATGACTGAGTTTTTGTACTTGCTAGTGCGAGTATACACTTTCTTATGTAGGCTTCTGGTTCTGCCTGATGAGATAGATACAAGGGGAGAGTTTTGAATGAAGAGGGTGATGGTGTGAGTTGGATAGAGAGAATGGATTTAGCCCACTTTTCACATGACTCCATGTGCCTGTCGACCAGAATATGAACAAGTTGGTTAAGTGGCAGCAGCCTGTGGCTTACCCTGCTGACAACCTTTAACATCCTACGTAATAAGATATAGTGTTTCTTCAGTAGCCCTGAAGAAACTAAGTGGAAACAACAGAGAATAATAGGCAGGATGCAAGAGTTAACGAATCTTAAGAGTAAGGGTTGGGTTGGGTTATTCCAGAATGTCTTAACTTCTTGATGTAGAAGGTGAGACGGAATATTTTCTTAGAAATCATCAAGATATGAGACGACCAGAAAAGGTCAGCAGATAGAATGACGCCAAGTTATTTAATTTCCGATCACAAGCTTCCCTTTATATGTCTATTTATTGGATGGTTAACTGGTTTTCATTTGAATTTTTCAGGAAGAAAGCAATACACTGTATGAAAATGAAGTCATCCATTTCATTGCTTCATGTGAATTCGGTGTCCCTTAGGGAGCTGTTCTGTCTCCTTTTCTGTTTTTTCTTTCTTCTTCAATGACTTGCTTCACTCTGTTAAAATGAACTTTGTTACGTATGCGGACGACCTAACTGTTTCACTGCCTGTTAACTAGCAGTTAGACTGAACTAAGATGAACAGATTTCTAACAAAAGTCAGCAAATGGTCTTTGTCTAATGGTCTTAAACTAAATCCTTCCAGATGTCAAACTGGTAATTTCAGTTTCCGATGTAAACGAAGGTTAAATTATGAAACTGTTTGGTTCCTATGACCGTTGCGAAATTGATGGTATTGATGCATAAATCAAGTCAGACATTAAGTATCTTGCATTAATTCTTTCTTCTAATCTGTCCTTGTCTTCCCACTTCTTGTCGACAACTAGTAAAATATTCCATCTGACATTTTACATTAAGAAGTTAAGGCACTAGGGTATAACTCGACCAACTCCTCTTCTTGCAGTTTATCAGCTCGTGCATCTTACCTATTCTTCTTATTATTAATTCTCATTCTTTCCTGGATTGCTTAAAGAAGACTATGTCATATCTCATAGAAGTCTGAAGACTGTCAGATTCCATTTCTCATAAGATTAGCAATTTCTTGATGTTTTTTTCTTGTCTCTTTTGTAGATTTATTGTGTATTCGAAGCTAGACCATTCGAAGAATTTACTGGTTGGCATCATACAAATCCTGAAATTGAAGACAACTTAAAAATTGATCATAAATCGTATTCATCGCTAGCTAAAACAGAGAAGGCTGAATTAATCTTAGATGGACAAAAAATTGAATGTACACTTGGCCAAAGAAGTAAAGTAGTAGAAATATCTGGTAAGTTCAGACAAAAGATTATCTTTTGTGCATAATTATTTATTGTTATAAGCAGGTATATCATCTTCCTGATTGTAGTGGGCTGAAACACACAACAGACCAGGAGGAATAAATGGATGTCTGTTTATGACATAGAACTTTGCACATATGTGCGGCAGTTCAAGTCACCACTCTCCATGTAGCACACAGAGCAAGAGAAGAAAGTAGAAGAAATGCGTAATAGAGGCAGTAAACAGAAGCGTGAGACAAAGGAATAGTAGCGACGAAGAACAAAACAGTTTCACTGGAAATCATAAGTCACAGGGAGTGGATGCATCTGTGTTAGCCACTGAGAACGATTTTGAGCCATGTCACCAATTGTTTCCAACCACTGATTTTTACCGTCCCAAAGACCCCAACCAGGAAGTCTACATCTCCCTACGTGGCTTAGACTTACTGTTGTGGATTTCATTGACTGATGAAGCTATGTTTTGGTTTGACCACCACTGGCTGTCTCTTTCCTAACCTGACCGTATGTCAGCTAAAATCGCCCGTCGAGTCGAGGAAGGCGATGGTTAGGCACTTACGTAACAAATTCCTAACCATCTCAGTCGATGTAATTTCACAGCCTCGTCGATTGATTTCCCCTCCTTACCTAGAACTCGACACCTAACCTCAGTATTGCTCACCTTATTATACCACTTCACACGGGTAAGAGGATGTGAGTGGGTTGATCCACAACTCGATTTTGTTTATTCCTTCACGTTCCCAGTGGAATATAGGGCTTCAAGCTAGAGGCCTGAAGCTTATGTAGCAGCGTTTACTTTTACAGGATATGGTTGCTAGCCTCATGCCCGAACTTGCATATTTACCAACTTTTTGTGACAGGCTTAGCGAGGTAAAGGAGTTCGTCAATGGCCAGGGGCGGAACTCCGGACCATGTGCATGGTCTTCGAGCGTCCTAACCACTGTGCCACCCAAACACATTGATATTAGATGGTTGGAGGAAATCGTCAGGAAGCCACAACTAACCTATGTTTCGTGCTAGTTGGCACCCACCAGTCAGTCAACAAGGCGTATCTGCAAACTTGAAAGAACTCATTTCCCCCCTCGTGAGATTTGAAGCCGCGTCACCTAGTGAGTTCTACAATCACAGACGTTACCACTGAGGAGCTACTCGAGCTGGTGATCGCCTCGAGGATTTTCGGTGAGCTACAGTAAAACTTCTCCAACACCTGTCTTCACCTGATACTGATCGGATGGCCGAATTGAAAGGATAAGCCAACATCCTATCGTTCAACATACAAGTAGAAGCAAATGAAGATATATTGGATATCCGCTGAGAGACATTCAATTGACGGTATACACCAGATCTTTGAGTGAAATCCGAATGAGGACCATTGGATTAGGTGACGCCAAGCACATTCCGTTTGGAAAAAAGGAATGCTTGTGGTACAGTTGTGGAGCTAGTCGAAAGTGTAATGGAATTTTGATGCTGAGACCTTGTTTTCTACTCGAAATCAGGGTATAAACAACAGAGATGATAATAATGTAGACTGAAGGATCATTATTCACTAAGTGACGTCAATTTATCGAAACGCCCCGCTGAACTTTGGCGCTTTTCAGTGTTGTCTTGTATACGCCTACTCAATACTTATATTTCAGTTTGTAAGCAATCACATCGACTGGATACCTAACATCCAAAAATCATTTCCCTAATTTTACATTTGTGGACAGGATGATATGAATGTCCTTGAATTTGAAAGGAGTTAGATCCTTTAGTATACTAGTCAGACCTCTTGTTGAAGTTGCTGGGCGATTTAGTTTATTCTTTCATTGTGTATGAGCAATCGTTCATATTATTGAAAGCAAAATTATTAAGGCAATATTTATTTTTACGTGTTTGACCATGGATTGATATCACTTAGAGAACATTGAAAACCATCCGGGAGTACTGGACAGCTGTTTCATCCTATTTTGGGAATCATCAGCAGTATGCACCCACCACCAGGGTTTGAACCCATGACCTTTCTGTTGGTTACAAGGCAAGCTCGCATACCATTCAGCCACTGGAACCCGATTCAATGGCCGGTGTATGAATTCTAACTTCTGCCAATTCGTGATTTTAGCGTGAGCACCAACCAATTCTTCGGTGGGAAATCCATCCCCCCCTTTTACTGAATGGACCTCACTGATCATGACTTCTCACTAGAACTCCAGGAAACTCCATCCTTTAGCAAGTCACTAGCCAGTAATATTTATTGTTGCTGAGTCGTCTGAGGGGGATTTAGAGTCAAAGATTCTGTTCATAACAACGATAAAAACCCTGAAATCTAACCATTCAGCTCACGGAACACAAGGTAAGACGCATCTAAGCTACCAGTTCTCTTCATCATTTGCCATGTATGTGTTGTTAGTAAACTTTAACGCAACCAACCTTCTTTCCCTTCTTGCCTTTATGCATTTTAGTCATTCCAAAAGATGAGCGAAGAATTCATGCGAAAATTCTGAGTGATGCATTCGTCAATGATCGTTTAATTGGTATTACGGGAGGTGATCTGAATCTGACATGTGATGTTAAACGTGAGTAATGAAATGATGTATATTGTAAACATCATAATTAGTAATGTCTACAATTCACTGGTATGATGCATGCCTAAATAAGTCTTATAAAACTTTCTAATGAGTATACTGAACAGTTACATCAGGAGGAGGGCGAGGTTAATTAATATCATATGTCTCGTCCTCAGTGTATGAAGCTATGGTTCGACTCCCACCCAATGGGTCACGTCTTCGAACTTTTCTCCATTTATTGAGATCTTGACAGCCAGGTAGTATTGTGACAAGGGCCAGGCAACAGATAGTTTAATGAACAAATCAAGAGATACATATAGATTTTTATGTACATTATTATTAGAGTTATTGTTATGAAAGAAGCAACGTCTTCTGATTGGTTGTTTTCTTGCCGACTGTTATTCTTTACTGTTTGTGGCCGTTTCTAAGAAAGTTAAGCCATATATCTGTGAATCGTATTTGCACACGTTGTGTCTTCTATGACTGGTTGTTGAGTTCCTCAAGATTAGGCTTGGCTGTTGTGTTTTTTCTCATGACCCTGATTTGGGACGTGAACATTGACACAAATTATTCTCTACAGTGTTGCCTTACAGACTGCTCTCACCACAGTATTACTAGACCTCACACACACTAAGTACGACATATTACCAATTACATGGGATTGAAAGTGGTTACCGAATACCATTCATATTCAGGCCTTAGTGATGGTGCTGACCGAATTCTCTCAGTCATTTTGTGGAATGTGACCATCAAAAAATATGACTCGCAATCACAGTCTACAAGACTTGGGTCTTAGTTTCCTGTTTACTTCCACTGATCAGCAGCCTCAAAACGATCGATTTCTGAGATTCGAACTTACATCACTTACATTGCTACAGTCACGTGATATTACCATTAAATTATGCCGACTTTAGGCTATGCATCGTGATTCTTTCACAGACACCGAAGCATTTTACAACTTACTAAAGTTTACTTATTGCCTTGTAGATCCAGTGACTAAACTCAGTTGGATGTCTTCTTGCTTGACAACGGTAGATTTGATGTTTTAATGAATAGATGATAACGGGGCAATCGCAGAAACTGTTAATCTTAAAATTCCACCACTTACGCAATCGAAGAGAAGACGACCTAAACTGGGACTAAATATCTGTTCAGCACCCTTTGATTTTGGATGATTTCCCTTGAGGATAATCAAGTCATAGTAAAAATCAGATTGATATGAAAATGACATAGAAGTTGTCTAGCTAGCTTCTTTGAAAGGTTTACAGAAATTGTCCTATCACTGCTGATGCCTATTGCGAAGGGGGAAGGAGATTAATTGAATATGCTCATAAGTAAGATAACCTCATTTATCTTTAAGATGATAGACACCGCTGAATGAATAAACCGCCTTCTATAATTCGGTTCAGAGTAAACCACTACTGACAGTCAAGAAATGACGAGTAGAGTGTGATTTCGGTGTTTTACTCATCTGCTTTATATTAAAACATGTTCACTACTGTGATCCAAAGAATAGCTCAAACCACACTACTTGTCTGGTCTTTTAGACTATGTATTCACGTGGGTGGCTTGAAACCACTCAGGTCGAGCAGTAGTTCTTTCTAGTCAGATTAAAATGATCCAAACACCACACATCCATTTCTCTGGTTTGGCTCAGGGCTTGTATGTGATTTATCCAGTTCGATGAAGTTCAGAGACCTGAAAAGCTTATGAAACCATTCGAATTCAGGGTGGCTGATTACGAGATTCGATAACAGGTGGGGTCTTAATACACAATTCGAGGTGAAAACTCGCTATTGTTTCATTGAGATCACTTTGATATGGCTAGCAATCATGACTACGTGACTTCACTGGCTTTCAAGTACACATATCGTTTAGTAGTATTGTAACGACAGAAGACAAGGGTCAGGTAACAGATCGTTTATTCCGAAAATCAACAGATATTTATGGATTTTTATGTACATTATTGTTAGCGGAGAAGAAACGTATTCTCATTGGTCATTTCCTTGCTTGCAACCTTTTCTCAGAAAGTTAATCCATATATCTGCGAATCGTATTTACCCATGTTTAGTTTGCCGTGATTGGTTGTTGAGTTCCTGAAGGTTAAGCTTTTTGATTGTTTTTTCTTACGACTGTGTTTTGGGACGTGAACATTGACGTCAATTGTTGTCTACAATGTTGGCTAACAGACAGTTCTCACCGCTGAATATACCATCATGGATTTCTCTCTGCTTTCTTGATTGCTATTGACGGTCTCAAGAATGTCACATATTTCGAATTTTTACTTCGAAACATGCTATTTACAAATGACTAATTCACTTCGTGTTCTCTGTCTATTTGAAGTTTGTTCATAACCATCAAATTTCTCTCTACTCTCTCTTTTAATTAATTAATTAGATGTCGGTCGGAAACCTGCTGCCATAGATCGAATCGATTGGTATGTCCAATATCCTAATGGAATACGACGTGAGATTAAACGAACAAAACTAGCTGAGAGTATAACAACTAGTCCACAAGGTGAATGGATTTACTTTGATCGATTGTCGGTTAAACCACAAGGCGTAAATGTATTTTGTGTTGTCCGCCTCGAAGATATTCAAAAAGCTACACAAGCATATTATTCATCACCACAAGTTAGTCTTTGGTTACGTGAACCAAAATTGTTAGTCTATATTGATGGGGAAGATCGACCTGGTATTGTCTCTGGTGCTGAAACACAAACACTAAAGATTAAGTGTATTGTGAAAGGTAAGTATTAACAGAAATGCATTGATTTACTGAATTTATTTGATGGAGTTTCCCGTTTTTAAAAGAAGTAATAAAGGTTAATAAAGCAGGATTTGATGAATTCATCAAATTTCGGTAGAACTCGTCAGCTTAATACTCTATATACATACACGGATATATATATATATACTTTTGAAATTACATTGGGAGATATAAGACTGATAAGTAAACAAACTACATTGAATTAGTCATGCAGAAAGACACGTGCGAATGTTTTCCAGGTCATGCTCAAATAGATAAGGGGAGAGAGAGTATGAGAGATCAGTAACACTGTGAGACTTTATCAACACAAAATTTACCCGTAATAGAGGTAAAATAAATTGAATTACGCTTCGATTACATCACTTAGATAAACAGTTAGTCATTAGAGAATATAACAAGAATTGCAAACAGACTAATATCAATAGTTATAATAATAACAATAATAGTAATGTTGAAGTGAGTTAAAATAATCCTACTGATAAAGGATAGTTTTAAATGAATCGAGTATAATAATGATAATAATAATAATAAGAGGTAGAATAATAAGTAGAACGTATTACCATGGTAGATTCAGAGTCACGACCATCTCCTTTTGCACACAGAGACCAGGTTTATAAACCCGAATTGCACAAGCCTCCACAATTGCAAGCATCTTCTTGTTTCTTTGTCTGCTAACAATAACAGTGAATGACTTGACCGCGTCGATATCATGTCTGTAATCCACAAGATGTTTTGTTATTGAGGATTTTGACACTTTGCACTCAGCTGTTTTCAACCATTTTGGCAAATGCTCCATCATGATTTGAGTAGACAATCACCTTTCCGTACGACTTATGTATTTGCTGCCACAAACACACTCAAATTGATATAAGCAGTTTGAAGTGTCGAGGATTGGTGGCTGGTCTTTCCCAGATTGTTGAAGCACTCGCTTGGTGGTGTTAAGGATAACAAGTTTTGCAGCATAATAAGTTCTCTTCATGGCTTTATCGAGTCTTCGCTTGACTACTTCCTGTACATCATCTCCTTTGAGTTTCTTGTATCAAAACGCTGCATTACTGTCCACATGTTTGTTTTGAGTAAAGGTATCTTGACTCTGTCCAGAGGTTAATAGGACGTTGTTTTGTTGATGGTAGCTAGAAGTCAAATTCAGAATACCTATGCCCTTCTGCTTGAGACACAGTCACGTTCAAATGATGAATCCAAAGACTAGCAAAATGACTCACACACACACAAATATTTACCTTACAAGAACATTACTCATCCTTCATAAACTTATTCGCCTTTATGAACTTGAATTGTTATTTCAACTCTGTGTATTCAAATTCACATGCATCTGCCCGACCAGTTGCATTTGATTTTGATGTAGTTGTGTTCTCTGAGCTAGCTGGACGGTTTATTTGCGAAGCTTTCACCTCCGCCTACTAGGCAACATCTTCAGTGTATACTTCACTTCGTTGAAGTGAGCTTTTAGATTTCTTCACAAGTTTATTAGTCATTTCTCCTGGTGGATGCCCTTGAACATGATTGGTTATTTTCGTGTGTTGTTGCCTAAGTTTCTCTATTTCCTATTTATAGATGCTTGGCGTAATAAAACTATCGATGATGCTGAAATCGACTGGGAGACAAAAGTAACCTCTATTCAAGAAGAAATGTCAGACAATAATGAACGTGCTCGACCTCAACCATCACCAAGAGATTATCCAATGTTAGGCGCTAAAGCATTATATGATCAAATGATAATAGCCGGGATACGACGTCAACCAAATTGGATTGCAAGATTCCGGTGTAAAGGAACAGATTTAAAAACTGGTGCTAGTGAATATTCAGATTATGTGAAATTAGAAGTTTTAGCTGGTGATACATGTAAGTTTTTTTTAACTTTGAGGCCTTTAATTAAGAACAGAAAGAAGGTTTCAAGCCTATGTTAATCCTTTTCTAATAACTGTATATACTTGTCGAATACCTCCTTGAGAATGCCAAATGAAGACGAAGATATCACTTCGTCTGGGAGTTGGCTTTAAAACCTAACGAAACAGTAATCCAGGGGGATATAGTCCTCACCTCTTGGCCTTTAAACTATCCTGATATATCATCCAAAGCGTCTCAACTTGGTGAAGTTGAAAAGATAAGATAGATCAGGCCTGAAGTCCAACCAAAACATGGCTTCATCAGTCAATGAAATCCACAATACTTAGTATAAGATGGCTATGTAGGAAGGTGTAGACTTCTTTGTTGGGTTCCTAGCCATAGTAGAAGCCGGAGAAGACTGGAGATAATCGGTGATATGGCTCAAGGTGATCGTTTTCAGTGATGGCGTAGATGCATCCTCTCCATGTGACTTATAATACCCAATAAAACTGTATTGCTCTTCGTTATTACTATTCTTTTTGCTTCATATCTCTGTTTAATGTCTGTATTTTGCACTTCTTTTTATTTTCTCCTCTGTCTTTGTGTGTTGAGTGAAGTGTGGCGACTTGAACTGCTGAGCACCGGTGCAAAGTTCTATGCTGAAACCAGTCATTCAGTTAGTCAAAAGTCATTTCTTAAAACGCTGGACATTGTTAATACATCTCCTGTCTTCCTACGGTATAGAAATGAGAAGAGACTCGGAATATTAAGTCGTTCCTTGTGCAATGTATTGTTTATGCCAGGAATCCCACATGTGGTCTTTCTTTAAACTCTTTTGAACATATGTCTGTCATATTTTTGGAAGAGCTGTCTGCCTGTAAGCCGTATTCCGTCTATGCACTGTGTATAAAGTGGCATATATTCCATTAATTATTCTGAAATTAACTTTAGCAAATATATGTTGTATTCTCAAGTATTGATTTTGTAAGGATTTTGTTTAATCGGATGGAGGATTTCATTATGAGCTGACATCAGTTAGAGAAACATTGGAAAACAACCATAGAGTACTGAACAGCTGTGTAGTCCTAGTGTGGGACTCTTCATCTGTACACACCCACCGCCAGAGTTCGAACACAGGACCTTCTGGTTACAAGGCTAGCGAGCTCGTATACCATTAAGCGGCCACTGGGAGCCGATCCAATGACTAGCACATGAATTCTAACTTCTGCCAATTCAAGACATTACGCAATGTCTTCTTCGATGAGTTACTGCCTCATCTTCAACCTGCTGTAACCTACTGGTCACGACTTCTCACTAGAACCTGCCTGAATAGGGCCAGTCGCTAGTGAGCACCAGGTCAATTTTCAAGTATTAGTTATGCAGGGATTTCTTTTTGTTTGATTGTTTGGAGGATTTCATCATGAGTGCGTACTGACGAAGGGTCCTAGACTAGAACGAAACAGCTGTCCAGTACTCCCTGTAGGTTTTCCAATGGTTCTCCAAGTGATATCAGCTCATGATGGAATTCTTCAACCAATCAAATAAAAAATCATTCTGTATGAACTCGGTGCTGAAGAAGCTTGTTTATACAAGCAGTATTCTTGTTGTGCTTTCATTTGCGTACATTTCACATTGGTTAAGACCGTTTTAGTCGTCTCACCTCACAGACTGTTAACCAACAATCAGTAGAATTTGAAATTTTCCCGTCGATTGATTGGACCGAAGTGCTCGGTCTTAGGTTGACATGTCGGCTTCTTGTGCAGATGCTTCGACGATGTCTGGGCATTTAGTTAGTATTTAATCGGTGGATGGTAACTAGCAGAGGAATCCAGAATAATGCGCACTTCGTCCTATTCGGGACTCATCATCTGGACATCGTCGAAGCATCTGCACAACAAGCCGACATGTCAACCTGTGATCGAGCACTTCGGTCCAATCAATCGACGGGAAAATGTCAATTTCAATTAAATAATTAATATCACCCGTTGCACAAGAGGTGGCTGTCGTGGCTCAAGTGATCTAATGGATAACGCTTTGGTGTCTGAAACTATGGTTACTGGGCTCGAGCCTCGGTGGGAACATAATCACTCACTGAGAAATGCAGGTACATCCAGGTGACGAGTCCCAAATAGGACGAAATGCGCATCCTGGATTCCACTGTTAGTCATCATCCACCAATTAAATACAACAGTCAGTAACTTTATTCTCGATAGTATTTACCTTTTTTTTTGAACTTTTCTCAAAGACAGTGCAGTTATTACCCAGGTTGATTTAACTAAAACCCTCATCTAGTACATTTAGATAACAACAAATTATTGATTTTCGCAGCTTGCTAGAGAGATAATGTGCCTCAAGAATGATGAAAGGCGTACCAATCGTTCTTTTTTCTATACAAATGACGATACCAGATGTTAAGTGGTCATTTTGGATAAGAAACTAGGAATTTTGGCAGTTAACCAGACTACAATAATATGACACAACAAATATGCAAAAGGAAAAGGTATGCAGAAACATCCAAATGACAGCATGCATTGAGCCAATGGCCGAATGGAACCCAAATGAGAAGCACACGAGTTAAGTGTGAGTATACAGGTTGCATGAAGAAGCTGGCGTGAGGAGGATATGATAGTTTGTGGGCAGCTGTGATGTCCTATTGTTGTGAGAGCTGGCTGCATGTCAAAATTGTAGACAGAAATTTACGTCAATGTTCACGTCCCGAATCGAGGTCATGAGAAAAAACATAACAACAAAGCTCAGCCTTGAGGAACTCAGCAACCAATCACAGAAGACTTAAGGTGTACAAATACGATTCGCAGATATATGGCCTAACCTTCTGAGAAACGGCCACAAGCAGTACAGAATAACCGTCAGCAGGAAAACAATCAATCGGAATACGTCGCTTCTCTGCTAACAATAACGCTAATAATAATGTACATAAGAATCCATAAATATCTGTTGATTTTCTGAATAAACAATCTGTTGCCTGGCCCTTGTCTTCTGTCGTTACACTCGGAACGAAAAGTGTGAACAGTAATATAGGGTTGATGTTTTTCAGGAAAATAGTTGATCACTTGGTGATATTCAAAGCTACCATGAAGTGATTTAGCTTCACACCTATTCGTGACCCTTCCTAAAAGTTTTTTTGGGCTGAGCATATTATTATATAGTTACTCATAATATTTCCTCAGTCACTACTACTACTACTACTAATAATAATAATGATTTCTTGGTACTTTCGATATTTCAGTGGAACAAATCCCTAAACTTCGCATAGTATCCCATACTGATCCAAGTTCACCGTATCCAAACAAAGTTGAATGTATTGATGACAATCAAAATCATGAATCGCAAGTCACTTGGACACGTCAAGATGAATCAATTGATCAGGTAATTTAATTGGATAAATTCTACCCTCATTACATAATTATTGCTATGTATTTTATCTTTTCTATTAGCAGTTAACACAATGACGAAGCAAAGAACATCCTAGACAAGTTCAATAATGTTCACCTTGCTATAAATTTTACGACTGAGAAAGAAAGAGACTCTAGTATTGATAAACGGATGAAAAATTGAGCACTGTGGTGGTACAGTACAACTCCATTATGAATAAAATTTTATTTTGATAAAATCACACAGCGTTGTACAGTGATATTTACGGATGACCAAATTTCGAGCACATATTATTGCTCCTAATCATATCAAGACACTACTCACATAACTTTCTTTCTGCACTTATATACATGAGTAAATAAGATGTTTTTATAGTTAAATAAATAAGTAACTTGTTAGAATGTTATAACGTGAATTGAACATGTTTTAACATTATTTATTATCCTCTGATTTGACTTGTGGTAATAATATCTTTCATATCTTTGGTATTTGGATTGATTCATTTCTTTTACATGTGTTGGGTGTAGACGCGATGATCCAGAATGCAGTAATCCATCTCTCTCTCTCTCCACCTACCTGTATTACATTTTAGAATTTTAACCCTCTCCCACCAGCCTATTGTGTGGTTGTGTGTTAATCCATGCAGGACAATTGCTGAGCTTTTTTTCTAAATTAATTATCTTCTCGGGGTCAACCATTCTTACCTTAGCTAAATTCTTGTGTTCCGACAATTTGACTAACCCCGACCTACTAGTTCGACCTATATAGTTGACCTAACTCACAGTCATTGCATAGTATTTTGTAAATTATATTATTTTGTTTAATTGGGTCCACTGACAGGGCCCTTTAAGCTACAGAGCTTGTCCTACTTGAATGAGTTTGTAGGTTTGTATGCCAACCTGATTCTTGCTTTATTAAGAATGCTACGTAGGGAAGGTCTCAGATGTCCCCTCCTTATATATGGTTAAACCACTGTAGAGATGCCTCATATTCTGCCTTATTTATGTTATCATTATTAGTTTCACAATTATTTTTATTTTACTCTTGACCTTTTCTGATCTTCCCAATGGATTTTTTAGAATAGTTATTTGACACCAACCAGTTATTCTTCTATCTGTTTCATTTCATCGTTTAGTAAATATTACTGTATAACACACTGTGTGATTTTATCAAAAAATTTCATTCACAACGGAAAGTTAGACTTAAATATTCTTCAGTTTTAGATGTCCTTATGTCCAGAAAAGAGGATGGCACGATAAGAAGAAGATGTGTATTATAGAAAACCTACATCAATCGACTGTCAGTATATACTCAATTTTACAGCTTCTTGCCTTTGAAATACAAACGCAGTCTGATAAATTGCTCGGTCCGGCACAGAGCAAAAGCAATATGTTTAGTGATGAATGGCTTAAATAGTTGCTGATGGAGAACGAATATCCAGTAAAATTCATTGTTTAAAAAATATAAATCAAAAGTCAAGGCAGGCCAAAGTACCAATATAAGAATGAAACTTGTGCACTGTGGTAGAGTGTAATTCCATTATGGGTAAATTTTGTTTCGATAAAGTCTCACAGTGTTATAAAGTAATGTTTACTGATGACCACGTTTCGAGCACAATTTAT